GGGTGCAGATCATTATGTACATTACCTTTTCTTGTAGAAAGTATAATATTCTCCAGTCGCTCGTTTAAGTAGCACTATCTCTAGGCAATTAATTTGCTTGAAGGTACATATTAATATTCAAGTAAGGGGTATATTCGAAAATTTATTGTACATTTCCATCACAAGAGAAACTTTGCTAAATCAAAGTAGGGTCATCTTTCATATCAAACTTAGACGAAAGGTAGGATTTGGGTAAATCCCATTCATTTTACGCTTTCACATCAAATAAATGTCCCTTGGTAAATGCTTAAATAAATGGGTATGATTACACCTACACGCTACGGGTTTAATATTTCCTGTTACATTTGTTAATTAGACAAAATTGAATCAAGTAAGGCTTTGTTTATTTACTGAATATTTCAAATGGTTAAGAAACTTAACAATCAACGCCATCTCCTATACATTGCACTTCTACCGCCCCTACATACACCTACTAGCAATTTTTATTAAATTAAATTGCGCATTCTTAAAAATAAAAATCGTGTTTTATTTCGATACACCCTTTGGCAACCACATCAAATTCGGGATCGTTATTCGTGGCCTGAAGCAATAATTAAAACAAATAATTAAAATATTTTTAAATGCCTCCATTACGCTTCAAAACTTTTTAAAATATTGTTAAATTTAATTATTAAACATTCCAATTCAACTTCCAATTGGAACTTGAAGAGGATGGACTATGGGATTTTATAAATTGTAATTGTGTTTAAATATGGAAGAGTTGAAACATATAACATATAACTAGTATAAACAGGATGAGGACTAAATATTTTATAAATATTAATTGAATACAGTAAAAAGCGAATATTAAAATATTTGAAAGATTAATAAGCTATTAATATAACGCGAAACAATATGTATTTATTTATCCGAAATATGTATTATTTCTGTATACGTTAAGGTTCACGTATTCTAAATAAAAAGGTGCTTCAGTCGTTGTCAGACAAAGAAATAAAACTGCCTCCCAGGTAGTGGTAATATCTAGCAGAGAAAACGTAAATTGCAAATGTTTCAAGAATGTCAGAATTAGAGTAAAGTAAATAACAAGTTGCTGAAATTGAATTGAAGGTCATAAGTTCGGGTCCTAGCGTAAAAGATTTACAATCCTTCGTCTTACCCAGGTTCTATATAGAAAAAAAGGCGTAAAGTCGATATATTAACATTTTCAATATTTAACATTCAATTGTTCCAATTGCTTTTTATCTTTTCCAGTGGCAGCAGTTAATTTGTTAACAAATTATTTATTTTTCTTTATTGCACGTAGTCAGGTAAATATACATATAGGAATGTTAAAATTAATAAAAAAATATAAAGTAAAGTCGATCAAGAAAATTGTTGCCTCTTTTGTAGAGAAATAATAATTTCCACATAAGGTGAATGGCAGTTTTTGAAAATTTCTGTCATGTTTCGACTGATTTTCGAAATAATCCAGGCGGTATCTGTTTTAAAAAGGGTATACTTTGATAAAACGCATATGATCGGAGATTTTTGTTTCAACAGCTTCTAAATAACATCAGAAATGATAATTTTTCTATGCAAATAAAAAAAACGTGGGCTTAATTGTTTTTGCAAAAAAAGTATAAAAAATAGCAAAAAAACTTATTTTTTTCTTGGATTTCTCGTTGACAACTTAGCATTCGTTTTAAACAAAAATGGAAGAGGGAAAAAAAGTTTTGTAATTAAACCTTGAACAAGACAGAGTTAGTTGTAATTCGAAAAAATAATTATTGTTGTTGCAAAAATCGGAAAAATCATTTAAAAAATTGCAAAAAATGCTAATTTATTTGTCAATGTTTTTCAGACAGTTGAATAATACCTAGGATCTTCATACTTTTTCTAATTAAACTTCTTAGTGCATAGAATCATCACACCAAATTTCATCCAATTCGGTTCGATAGTTTTTACATAATAATCAGATAGAATAAGCTTTAAAATGCTTTTTGAAAAATTCAAATCGGACGATTAGGTGAGCCGTGGTTATTGTTTAAACATTTCATCAGGTTTTTTTTTAAATACTCGTCTTTCCGAGTACTTTCAAACCAAATTTTAAAATAAAAAAAATTGAAAAAAACATTAAATCATTGCAATTGTTTATAAGCGTGAAAATTGCGAAAATGTTTAAACAACCACTACGGCTCCCTAATCGTCCGATTTGAATTTTTCAAAAAAAATTTTAAAGCTTGAGAGCTCTTCTTTTTGTGGTGAAATTTTCAAGTATAAGGCTTTAGATTATTAGAAATTTGATTTAGAAAATTTTTTAATTAAAAAAAAATTAACAATTATTATGTAAAAACTATCGAACCGAATTGAATGAAATTTGGTATGATGATTTTATACACTAAGAAGTTTAATTGGGAAAAGTATGAAGATTCTAGGTATTATTCAAGTGTCTGAAAGAAATTGACAAATAAACTAACATTTTTTGCAATTTTTTAAATGATTTTTCCGATTTTTGTAACAACAATAATTATTTTTTCGAATTGCAACTAACTCTATCAAAATTTAATTACAAAACTTTCTTTTCTCTTCCATTTTTGTCTAAAATGAATAGTTACTAAGTTGTCGACGAGAAATCCAAGAAAAAAATGATTTTTTTTTTGTTATTTTTATATACGTTTTTGCAATAACAATTAAGCCCTCGTTTTTTTAATTTGCGTAGAAAAATTATCATTTCTGATGTTATTTAGAAGCCGTTAAAGCAAAAATCTCTGATCATATGCGTTTTACCCAACCCGAAACAGATACCGCCTGGACTAAAAGCAATAACGGAGCTGCTGTGTTTTTGTTGAAATCTCTGTGACGAGCTTTCCTGTATTATATTTTAGTAGAATCCAACGACGCAGGTGAGATTTTTGTATAACTTTTCCAATTGTAATTCAAAATTATTATAATAAACTTAAAATAAACCTGTTATAATTAACTACAACGTACAACTTTGACACCTCGATAAAATTGTGCTCTCTCTTATTTATTTTTGGAGACGGTTGGCCCTATATATTTGTGAGAAAAACGTAAATTAAAAATAGGTACGTGCACGCAGTACACTTAAATATTGTACTTGAATTGCTACAATTTGGACAATTAAGTGGTTATATACTTTTTTGGGTAATATAAACCACTTATTATATCTCAAAGTACTGTAGTAATGGAAAACCTCAAAAATTTCGTCGAAAAATATCGTAGTTTGAACAATTCTATTTAAGTGAACATGTTTACGCCTTGTGAATATTATAACTATTACTAATATTACAACACCTGCATATTTTTAAAGTATAATCCTTGCATATAATGGACAACTAAGACCGACTGATAGATATTTGAAAATTTTTCATCTCTAAAATACAATTGTATTTGATTGCAATTAAATCTACATAAGATTAAAACTTAGATCAAAACTGCATTCTTTTTTTCTAGATTTATCTTTTTTATGTTCTGAATGTATGGAAATTTTTTAAAAAATTCTGTAGAAATGTCATATTTTCGATAAAAACTATTTATATACAAATAACTCTTGTAACATTTGATTTTTGATTATGTTTGGTTAATTGTGATTTTCTGTTATAATTAATTTAACTTTACCATCTAATATACACAACGCAGACTACTTTTACTGTAATTTAATTTTTTTATTCTTTTGTATGAATAATAATGCAACCAAAACATTGTTTATTATTCCCAACTTCGATATTCGTTAAAAATATTCACAACAGTCTGAATATAAAACTCAATATGTAAACTAATACGTATACAGTCTGTATTTTTTGCATATAATATTAAACTTACAAACTTATTTTCAGTTAAATACACTGCTGTATATTTTATAAATTGTGGGTCCTAGAATTCACTTTACTGCCCCCTATTAGTCAATTGATGAACTGTCCTAAACAATTGCCTGGTAAATTTTTCCGTTTCCAGATATAAATTATTGGTGCTTACTTGAAAAATTATCCTTATGTAAAAATGCCAAAATCGATTAAAATATCTATTTATTTGTAGTTCTAAATTTTCTTATGTAATAAACTTACTTAGTGTTATGATAAAATTTAACACTTTTATTACTTGCATAGGCAACGAATAAACAGAATATTAACGTTGCATGTTTATTTTCAAAATTGCGGTACCTTATAGAGAATACTTTGAAAAAACCCTGCTTAGATTTTCTGTACGTTCAGTAGTTCCCGAATAACTAATTATTATCAAAGCCAAAAGGGTCATTTTTGTTTTGAACGACGATAAATCAGCGACAAATCACCGTCGAAGCACCTCAACTTAAAGAGAATTTATCGAATTAAAATATTTGACAGGTGGGATTATAAAAAAAATTATTGGAGCTCGTGGATCTTTTGAAAGGAAGGCAAAAATTTTGATTATTTTTCCGGTGGATTTCTCATGATTTCTTAAAAGTGGTCAACGATAAAATTTTTCAGATCCTGAAAGTAGACACTTCAAGCTTCAAAATTGAGGATTTTTTAAAATTCTTTAATTTCTATGACTACTTTATATTATTATGAATGCTTAATAGTTCGTATGAATTTTACTCCTTTTTAATTTTTTTGTAAAGATTATTATAAAAATTGGTTTAGACTCCTTGAAGTTTGAAGAAACATATCGTCCTTTTCTTCAGAAGAATCCTTGAAACTTTAGGTCAAATCAGTCAGTACTTACAAATCGTGTGCACTAGTCTTTAGCATTTCGGTGCATGATAAGATGTGATGTTCTAGTCATTAAAATATGAGGCGTTTCCAAAGGTAGTTGTAAGCTCTCACTTGATTAAAACTGTCTCGATTTTTCTGTGTTTTTATTGCATTTATATTTACTGAGATGATTCTATATTCAAAAATGTAGAAAAATATACTATTATTTAAACAAATATCTTTATGTTGTTTTCTCAGAAATAATCAATACCAGTTAATAATGTTTTACAATTATTTCTTTTTCTTCTTATAATTTATTTTTTTTAGCGAAAGAAACCAGCAATAAAAAACTATCGGGATCGTTCTACAGCAATCATTCACGAAAGCAATCAGGGGTAAGTTTTATTCTAAGCAACTAACTTACCTAAGATCCAAAAAAATATATACACTGACAAATGTAGTTGATTTTATTTTTAATTGATTTTTTCTTTTTTTCGTGTACAGAATAGTCTCACCAAAAATCAGCACACTTTGATCTTCCTCAATATATTGACCCCAAGTTTATTCAAATTGAAACATTTATAAAAAAAATACAGCATGTTCTAGTTATTAGTGTATTTGCCATAGAATTATTTTTTCTAGACTCTACAGTTTTTAAATGTGTAAGATTCCTTACAATTAAAATTGTTCACGTTCCAATAACTAAAAACAGAGGGAGGGGAAAACCCCACGTTCAGTGGCACCCTGTATAATTAAATAAACTCAAGTACTAGAAAAATAGTTTTATTGCGAATAAAGAAAATATTTACGCCCAGTGATTTAATCCAGATGGTTCCAGAACAAACAACTGAAGCTATATTAATCTCAGGCTTTTATTTGTAGAGTTATCGTCCTCGCACCACAAGTTTCTTCAGTTCGAGCACAGAAGAACCGAATGTGGCCAGCTCGACGCTATCCTTGCACGACGGCGACCAAAGTAAAAAACAAATAAAACAGCGACTAACTGCCTTCTTTGGCAACACTAAGGTAAGATATCGCAGGCGACAGAAGCGTATTAAAGCTGTAAAATGTAATTCAGTGCACAGATAAAATGTGTTTAGTAACCCAAATCAACTATTTTCTAGTGATTTAATTAGTAGGTATCTTTGCTGTATTTGCTTTATTTCTTTGGGTATTTTGTCATTAAAAAAATAGTTGGAAACTAAAGAATTATATCCCTGTTCCACAAGCATCAATCTAAGATTGTAATTAAGGAAAACGATCGTTAAGTCAAATAATGCTTTTATTTCTTACCATTTTTTTACAGACAATTTGGATTTATTGTGACCATAAAACGTTATGTTGTTATTGTCATATTTAATGATATAATTAATAGTAGTAGTAATCTGTAATTAAAATAGTATGACAAAACTTTGATGGTGGATCCTACGTAATAAATTTTTTTTTAAAATAGTTGTACAAAAACGCTTCATTTTCGAAATAAAGGGTGTTCAACATGAATAAATATGTATATTTTTTTTTAAATTGCGAGAAACAGTTGACTTAGGACAATATTTTACTTCATTCATGGGTTACTTAATTATTAATTAATTTGTGATTTAAAATTCTGTATATCTGTATTTAAAGAAATTGTCTTTAAGAAAGGGTTATGATATACAGGTTGATTCAGTCATAATGTCATTAATTTTAACCATGTCGGCCTAATAAAGACAGAAAATCTAAAATAAAATTACTCCATAATTCGGCGCCCTACCCCGAGACAGGGAACGCACCGGGGCTATAGAGCGTTCTAATGTTGAAGCGAAACAGCTGATTTCCCCAGTCGTCTTGAGTCTTGCAATTGTTTTCAAAATCAGTTGCAGCGGATCTCAACTTTATTAGCAAAGTGCTATGGACGGATGAGTTAGTGTTTTTTTAACCGTACTGCGTCATTTTAAGTGGGTAGATACTCTTTGAAAAGCAATAAGTCACACAATAAGGTGTGCATATTACAAACTGAATAATTAATTGAAGATAATACTAACTGTTTATTTCACTACGGATTAAAAACGCATTAAAAGCTAGATTAATGACCGAATATGACTGTAGGTCAAGATTCACTCTATAAACCTTTGTGGGACGGAAAGGGGTTTAAATAATGATTTGAAAATATTTTCTTTCAGCGTAAATATACATTTTAATATTTTTTTTTAGCAATTAATAATAATAATAAACGTATTTATTAATAATAATTCAGTACATGAGCGTTATTCTAATAATTATAAAATTTATTAAGAATGCAAGCTTCCACTCTTACACTTAGCCATTGGCACCCTCTGCCTCGAGGGTTAAATTTATTTTGTAATTAAATGTATTTAGTTAGTAAACATTATTTACGAATAATAGATTAAATTAAATTGTGTTTTATTATTCTACTCATTTTTCCCTATCTTCCCTTAAAGTTAATGACATTATGCTGAATCACTCTGTATACAGATTTTAAATTTTAACGAGTTGTTGTCTTCACATCGGTCGGACTTTTTTAATGTTAATTATTATTATCATTATTTCTTAATAAATTGATCATGGTATGACATTTTGCCGTTTATCTCAAAAACAGTGCAGTTTAGTGACGTGCACAATGACACATTTATTATTTAGCGCTCTGCTGTAATAGTGATCCATCTTCAATGTACCTTGTACGTAAAAGAAAACCGTGACATTTTTTGTGTTTATGGATAATGATAAACTTAAACTGGATCTAAAATATGAGTGAAATCGCTTTAGCTATTTTCTTGCAATTAGAAAAAAACTATTTTCTTTTAACTTTTACACCACGTGTCAAGGAAACGAAGCGTTTTTATGTACCTATGTGTTAATATAAGTGTGTGAACTTTTTTCGTTAATTAAAGTTTAGTAAAGAAATTTAGTAAATATCGTCACTCTTGTAGGATACAAAATACGAAGCCCTTATTGACCAATTAGATAAGTACTCGAAACAAGGAATCCCTCATATCGTTAAATATCCTCAAGGCCAGTGCGAATCTGTCGATGCTCTATACAAACTTGAAGATGACTGGCGAGACATTATTGAATTTAGTGGTAAGTTATTGGCATTGATTTTCAGCATTCTTATTTCCTTATTTTATTAAGTTAAATTTAAATAAAGTTTTACACAAATTTACACTACTTGCATCTGCATATTGTCTTTGTTATATAACACAGACCAACAAAATTTCATTTTTTTTTTTGGAAGCAGAAACTTGAATATATATTTCCAAAGGATTTAGGTGCGCTGAATCCGAATCTGGCAGCGGAATTGCTCTATCACGTCAGGTTTTTGAGATATCCTAACCTAAAAGTGCAAAAAACATTGTTTTTCGTCATATTTGAGGTTATGTAATAATGCCATCAATTCTTTTTCAAAAAACTAATACATTGAATCTAAAAGTACAAGGCTCCCTCCTTCGAATGCCGTTGAATTTGCTCAAATATCTTTTTTTTTTTCGTTGAGATATCACATGTTGAAATTTCTAAGTTCTCAGTTTCTTAATATGCGAAAATCTACTAAGGATCCCTTAGACATCAAGCAGTCGATTGCAATTCAGAAACTTCATACCCATACGGTTTGTGGGTTTGGAGTTGGTGGGCTTGGGGTTTGTAAGCTTGGAATTTGCAGGTTCGGGTTTTTGTGTTTGTGGATTTAGGGATCGTGGGTTTGGGGTTTGTGGGTTTGTGGATTTGGAGTTTGTGAGTTTGATTTCGTATGTATTGAAGGTTTCTGAGTATGAAGTTTCTGACTTGCAATTAACTGTTTGACGTCTAAGGGATCCTTAGTAGATTTTCGCATATTAAGAAACTGATGAACTTAGAAATTTCAACATGTGATATCTCAACGAAGAAAAAGATATTTGAGCAAACTCAGCGGCATTCGAAAGAGGGAGCCTTGTGCTTTTAAATTATATGTATTTTTTTTAATGAATAGATGGCATTACTGCACAACCTCAAATATGACGAAAAACAGTGTTTTTGCACTTTTAGGTTAGGATATCTCAAAAACCTGACGTGACAGAACAATTCTGCGGCCAGATTCGGATTCAGCGCACCAAAATCTTTCGGGAATGCGTATTAGTGTGTCTGCTTCTTGACCCTTGTTGACCTGTGTAATAATTATTACATTATATTATAATATTATTATTTATATGCTACAGCGCTACAGCTTAACAATTAATCATGGTAGAAAATACAAATAAATTAAACATTCACAAATTTCTGTCTATTATGTTTGACATTTTACAGATATCAGATAATTTAATTTAAGAATTCTTGTAAGGTTTCCCTAAAGTCGAAGATTCATTTGACTTTTTTTAATGGAAAAGGTAGGCGTTAAGAATAAATCTAAGTATATTTAATTATTTTCTATGTAGTACACCCACATGTGTACCTAAACGTAAAATGGAAAAGCACTCATTTCATTATACTGCCATTTATTCGGTGTTCCTTTATTTCTATTATAAATAAATTAATATTCAGAAACTTCTGTAGGTATGCATTATTACAGGGAATGAAAATGCTAGTAATTTCAGTACCGCTTCTACTCGTTTAGTAGTTTTAGAACAATGAGAAAACTATGGCGTTACCACACACAGCATGCCATTGTGTATAAAACTCGAACGTTTGGTTGCATTTAAATATTTAACACATTTTGCCACTATAGTAAACTCTTCTATACTTAGAAAATATGTGAAACCCAAACGTCTTTTATTTAATTACTTTACTTTAAAAACATGTTTCTAAATTAAAGAAGAGGCACTGTTTTTGAATTATTTTTTCCTGAAAATTTATTCAGTTATTTCTAATATTCGTTGTACATATTTTTGCTACACGTGTTGAAAGCAATCGTATTCCATGTTTAAACCTACTTCTGTACTAAACAAAATAAAAATGCTCTCCAGAAAATTTTCGTAAAATCCTTCTCTACTTCATTTCTTACTTTCGTGTATTTTAACTTTTAGACATTCTTTTATGTCATAGTGACTTTTGTAAATGTTTCATTTTATCATTTATGTAATATATTTTATTTAATACTTACAATTCCCACTGGAAATTATATTACTTTTGTTGTGAACTACCTACTACTAAACTCCAGTTATTTATCGAATAAAAAATGTATTGTATTGTAGGATATTTTTTAAATATTTGGAAAATAATGACATATCCAATATTTTGATGGATCAATGTTTTTATCAAATGAGTGACTGTCAAACTACCGAAAAAATAATTTAGATGTTTCTTCAGATAATACAGGTGTTTATTATTTATAATCGTTCTATTGTTATAGTAAAATAACAAATTCTTTCAGTGAAATAGTAATAGTTCAAGCTCACTTAATTTGCTTAATAATATTACGCAGTTTTTATTGCAATAATAAAAAACTGTTGTTTATTATAAATGTAACACGCAGAAGAATATTTTTAAAATCATCATTTTAGCATTCGTGATGGTGTATAACGAATAATTTGAAACAGAGCTCTTGTTTAATTTTCAAGAATGAGAAATAATATTTTTTTCTTTTAACTAGAGAACAAATATATTAACCGTTAAGTTAAGGTGAACTAAGCTAAACTAATATTAGCTATAATATTAGAGGCAAGCAAATTAAGGAAATTTGATGAAAGAAATGTGATAGGGGGTGAAAAATTTTTAGGCCGCCTGGTGGGCATGTATTGAGCTAAAAATAAACCTACAAATATTGGTGCTTTTCGCAATATTTGCCTTGCCAATTGCCAATTTTGGCCTTGCACTTGTTTTAATTTAGCCGAGAGTGATACTCAAAAAAATTTTTCATCTCAAGATTTCAACACTAAAATCTTCAAGCTTCAAGATGATTTTTTTTCTCGATACGACTATTATTCAGGAAGTTACAGCCTTTCAAAAATCACTAAAATAATATTGGAAATTTTTCTGTTCTTTTAATTTTTTTGCCGAGTTTATTATTCTTGATTATCGGAACGTCCGCATTGATCACTTATTATTGTAGTCGTGGTATCGACTGCTTCGGAAGACCTTTTACCAGTTGATTTATAGTTTCCTTGTTCTCTACTATCTAACACATTCATGTGGTAAATTCCGTTTAATATTATTCGCATAACTTGTTATTACCTGATTTAAACAAGCGATTTTAACGTCGATTAAATTTTACCTGCAACTCGTAAATAACCACACTATCACGCCAACTATCGTTATTCATGCCCAAGTGGACGTAATGAATGTATGTAATTACAAACACCAGATCGAATGGGTATTACGAAAACCGCGGACTAGATTAAAAATGTATTTGCAGCAGCAATATTGGCTAGTGCTAAATTGATACTCGTGGCCCCAGTATCGTTTCAATAAAAACTAAATGACTGGTCGTTGGCGGAAGCCATCTAGATTTTCCAAATTTAATGCAGGCAACATCTGGTGCTCCATCGTTGCCATCAATCATCGAGCCGCGGATTAAACGAGTGCTGTTTCGTCAATTTAATTTAATAGGCCAGATAACACGAAAACAATAAATTGCCAATATGGAAAAGCTGTAAATAATACTCTCGTTTAGCTCTCATGGCCTTATACGCGTACGCATCAAGGCAGTGCACAACATTATACACTGTAAAAAAATCGGTATGAGTGAAAGCAATAAAGGTACGGAGAGAATCCATTGAGTGAAATTATTGACTACATTTTCACTCAGTATTGAGCATTTTGATAATTTTACTCATTTGTAACGAAAACTGAGTATTTTCACTCAAATAAATTAAATTCTGCAAATAAACTCGCATTTGGTGCACTTGAAGCTAAATCGGTGTAAATGTGACCCCCACCCCATTCTATGGTTGTCGTGCGTTGTCTTTGTCTATTCCCATCGTCCCCATTAGGTCATCTCGTGGCGTGGTGTATGGCGTGTAGTGCTGAACAAGTGTCCGTTAATCCGGTTATTTTGGTGAAAATTATGTTTAAATGTAGTGGTTTGATTACAATTATTAATATTTGGTTAAATAAACAGATAGTTAAATTGTTACCTATACTTACTTACGTATCTGTAACGTCCTATGTAGGTTATGGCAATCTATTCGTTCGATCAGTTAACCAATTCCTTTAGTGCAGACCTAAAATATTGTCTCTAAAACAGATATGTGTAAAAGCCACTGTTGCAGCTTAGTATTTTATGACTTTAATACAATGATTAAATTAAAATTTAAAGAGAATATAAAGTGATGCAAATCCACTCCAGATATTAATCCACCGGCGACTGGTGCGGGGGCGGGCTCTGGGGCGCCGCGGCGCGCCGCCCCTCTTGGAGATTTTCATGGTACAAAATTACTCGATAAATAGTTAAATTTAAATCATATTAGAGAAAAAGCCAACTCTTAATTGGTTTTACATACTCAGTATAGAGTCAAAAGTCACTCACTTGACAGCAGAAACTCCTATTTGAGTAAAATTCAATCACTTTTGTTGCAATAGAGTGAAAATTTCACTTAATCGGATGTGACAAGAAACTGATACATTATTGAGTAAAATTGAGTGAATTAAGTGAATTTTTTTTTACAGTGTACAGATATACTGAGGAGTGAAATTTTAAAACCACACTACCTAAAAAATGAAAAAGTATTGGGGAAATCCTGATTTCCGGAAATTGAACCATTTGTCAACTATTGTTTTAAAGTTGTAAAATAATTCCAATTATCGTCTCGGGTATTGTCAAAAAGTTGTGGAAGTCAATTTGAGCAAACGTTGAAATGTTATTAATAAAATTAATAATGGGGTAAATAAGTAAATAATATGCTAAAAATTTTGACCCGCATTTTTTCCTATAAAATCATTATTTAATTGGTAATTTACAAAAATATATAAGTGAGTAAAACGACACCTGTGATGTGCTAGACTACGTCCTAATTGCGCTGTCTGTTAATAGAAAAATCAACTAAAATCTCATACCTCTCTTTCTCCTTTTTAGTAATAGAAGGACAGAAAGGAGTTACTTAAATAAGAAATATAACTGATATACGGGTCTATTCTGTAATGCTGTTGGTTAATTTTAACGTCAAGGCCACAGT